GTGGCTTGGCTCCCACACCGACGTTCCCCTTGGCTGCTCGCGAATCCGTCGGGTGAAGGGAGGGAAAATTTTAGTCGTTGCGGCCAGGTTCGAGCGAAAACCCCAGCGTCATAAATACCAAAAAATAAAAATAAATATTATATTATATTTATTATTATTATGATTCTTATTCTTGCTGGGATGGCATCATCAATAATTGTCTACATAAAGATAATAAAGTAACTGTATAGAGATGCGTACCGTCGAGCACGTTGACTATGTCTTGCGCGTTGTGCTTCACGGCCACCTCTCGCGGTGTGCCCTGTGGCCCCAAGATGCTACATCAACGTTGCACCCGCGTCGCGTGTCGTGCCGTTGGTCGTGTCGTGTCGTCGTGAGTGGGTGAGAAAACGAAGAAGAAGGAACGAAGGGAGAGCGAATGTACTTGACGGCTGCACCGCGCTCGAGGAGCTTGCGCACGGTGTCGACGCGGCCGGAGCTGACCGCGATGTGGAGGGCCGTTTCGCCTTGTCTGTGGTGCGGGAGATCGTGGGCAGAAGAGGAAAGGAGAGGAGACGCAGAGTCGCGGTGGCGGTCAGCTTCACCACCACCATCACGATGGTGCACGTCATGCACATTGGAAAAATAGCGCTGGAGTCGCTTGAAGTTGTTCTCTGCTGCTTCCATCTCCATTCAACTCCACTCCACTTGATTATTTATTATTATACTAACAAATAGAAATAATCGATAAATAAATGAATAAATAGTGTTTTGATACGGTGTGCGTGTGCGGTGTGTGTTGTGTTGTGTTCTCAAAGAGAAGGAGAAAGAGAAGCCAAGAGCCGTTGTGTCGTGATAGAGCTCCTCATGGAGCGGAAGACACGCCATGTTGGCTCTCGTGTTGTGAAGTGAAGAGAAGCATGCCTCAATGAGGAACTCGCGGAAAAGTGCGCAGAGCGAAAGCGAAAAGGCACGGGCGCCGATCTCGAGAACAAGTCCAGTGATCGTCGGCTCGAGGTCGAGCGCCACCCACGTCCACAACTCAAACGCGCGCAACGGTGAATCGAAGCAACAACAACGTTTTCACCCATTTTGTTGCGGCCCAGATGCTGAGATCTCGAGCGTGGCATAGATTGGATGATTGGATGGGAGGTAAGGCAGGATAAAATGGAAGAGATTGGGATTGAATTGAAAGGAGTGCAGCGGAAAACCAGCCGCTCAAGTTGTAGAGTTTGCTCACGAATGATGAACGCGTAGAGAAAGGAGAGATGTGAGAGGGGGGGGGCGTACGGATTAGCAGTGTTGGGATTGGCTCCATGATCGAAGAGGATGTCCATCTCTCGCAGTCGGTCGTGCTTGGTAGCCACCATGAGGGCCGTCTCGCCATTCGAGTCCTTACGATCGAGCCACATCGCATTCTCTCTCAATGCCAGAAATTGCTGCAGTTCTCCCTCCTGCCCACCATCTTTGATCATCGAGTAGAGCTGTAGTAGTGGATTG